ACTGGAATGTACCTGCGTCCCAGCATTGCGGCTTCTCTTCAGAGAATTATTCGCAACAAACTGATTCAAGAGAGGGCCCAATTCACAGTGGCAAAACAGGGGCGAGGAGGGGGGGTCATTTTTGGCAAAAACGAACGGACCGTCCTTTATGGATGGCCCCTTATCTGAACGAAAATTTGACTCTGGTTTCCGGCACGAAATTTTCGTTGCAGTAAATAAAATTTATTTTTCCGACAGAAACGGTTTTTCTGGGTGTAAGCCGGAGTTTGCGACTCACCTTTTTTGATGTGGTACTGGTCTGCGCACTCTTTGATCTCCTCCGAGTTGTGACCCAGTGAGACCTATGGGCAACAAACAGTAGACGCGTCATCAGGTTGTCATTCTCCGCGCGTCGGAACGTCGAGGGAATGCCCGCCACACAAGGGTTGATCAATAAACGGGGCGCGTCAAACGCGACGAGCACGACGGCGACGAGTTTGCCCCCTGAAGCCAAGGGGGCGGCGGGGAAGACCGACCTGCACGAGGGCCAGCAGGCACAGCGCGACGCAGATGAACGACTTCATGGCGGTGGTGAGCGGGAGTGTGCTGCAGGACGCTTGTGCGCCGGGCTCGCGGCCGCCCGCTTATATAGGCGGCTCCTGGCCAGTGCGCCAGTCCCAGTGCGCCACAGTCAAATTATCTTGGACCGAAACACAGCACGGCCGGATGGTGGCATTGCTGTGACACTAAGCGCTCTGCTGCCCTTGTCACACGGAGCATGTGACGGCAATCAAAGCTTCACAGCCCCCCCCCCTCTCCCCCGCCAAAAACTGCACTTGCACAAATTAGATGTTTGTAGACACGTATTTATATGGAATCCGTTATTATAATGCTATGTGCGCTCCGTTGCACCGCACAACAAAAGATTTGCCAATTGAAATCGTCATTTGTTCCAATAGCGCTATACTAGTCGCACTTTTTTCTAAAAAAAAAAAAAATCATCTTACAGTCATCTGGGCTGGGGCTCTACTCTGGCCCTACGAGATGACTTGGGCCTATCTGGGACACCTGGTTTTAATTCCACAGGGGCTCAAAGTTCAAATGTGGGCCGAAGTAGCCCCAGATGACGGTACGGAGAAACTCCGCGGTTTCAATCTCAAAACTTCTGATATAAATTAACGGAACGTTACCTGGTGTAACTGTGAATGCGCAGCAGTGTTGGGGATCATCCACAAAGTACGTCCGTGATTCGCTGTTCCAAAACTGCCAAGTTCAGCCTGTGCCACCTCTCGGAGCGCCTGGTGGGTAGGCAACTTCTCGTATGTAGTGCATGTGTGTTCTGCGGGCTGGCCTACCTTGAGCCTCGCAGGCGCTCATTTCCATTTTTCGCTAAACGAATCTTACAAAAATCGGACGTACTTTCTGGATGGTGCCCGTCACTCGTATCAGAATAACGAGTCATAAATGCAACAAAGTACACTGTGCGCTTAAAATTCACTCTGTTACTTCGTTTCCATAGATACCAGACATCCTCCATCAAACCCCTCAAACTTATTTCTATGCATAGAAACAGGAGCAAAAAAATCCATAATTTCTAACAAATTATTCGTTTTTCAGTGAGAAGAAAATAAATAGGTTCTTTATCCCTGAGTGTATACTAACTGTCACGTTCATTCACTATGGTGTCACGAAAGGTCAGTAACAGCGTTTTCAAGCTTAAATAGAAATTCTCTGTGTAGAATTTAAAATTGCATCAACATCCAGTGACCCAGGGGACGTCTCCTGCGTCTCCTGTTGCCTGTTGAGAGGATCCTTAAATGTATCATTCAAATAATGTTAATTGCATAAAGTCTAGTGGAGACAACTTCCATGAAAAAAATACAAAGCGAGACCATCCTCTTTAGTCTCAAACTAAATTTGAAACGGCTTTTTTTAAAAGAAAACTAAAAATGATAAAATTATTGATTTGATTTTCATTTCAATTTAATACTGTAAGCTATTGAATTTACATGATTTTTTTTCCTCGAGGTGGTCAGCATTGCACACGCGCCTTGTCTAAACAGATGACTTCTGTATCAACATTGAACTGGATATCAACTTGCTAAATTGCGTGACATTGCGTAGCTTCGAAACAATAACAGAAAGAACAAATTGCACACTTTAGCTATAGATTCTTTGGAAATGTAAATTGCAGATCGAGTTTTCTGAGTGAGTTCCCCCCGTCATTCCTTTTGTTGCCTTATGACCTCTGTTAGAAAAAATACTCACGTGTTGAGCTAAACTCCATGGTTGAACCATCTGCCTTCTCCTCTGATCGTTGTTGTTTGTTAAGGAATTTCTTTTATGGACTAACTTTCTATTCGTTTTTAATTTTATTCAGTTGGCAAACTTTAGAACTGAGTTCCAGTAGGTGTCATGACTAGGAAAGACTTTTACGGTCCATACATAACCTCTCCTCTACACGCTCTTAAACAGTTTTCTCTCCCAAACAGGGCTGCCCTAGAATTTATTCATGATGGTTAATTTTAGTCCAACGTCAAAATGCTCCAACGAGGACAAAGGCTTGCTACACACTGGAATGTACCTGCGTCCCAGCATTGCGGCTTCTCTTCAGAGAATTATTCGCAACAAACTGATTCAAGAGAGGGCCCAATTCACAGTGGCAAAGTCACAGGTTCACCCTAATGGTTTGTGCGAGATAGTTGTCAAAAAGTTTAGCCCAAATGTATCAACTGTCAAAATTATGGTACAGCTTTCATTTATTTATACATCAATACATAAGTTATTTAGTTATTACTGATTTATTTTATGATTATCCTTTTGTAGGAAATGTTACAACAATGTCGAGAATGTGTTCAAGATTCCTCTCCTTCTCATAATGGTGATTCTGATGTAAACAAAACCATTGATCTGTCTGATGGGGATGATTCAGTTTGTATTCTGTCACCAACCCATTCGGCTTTGAGCTTACGAAAAAGGTGAGCAATTGATGCCGCAAAAATTTAAAGCATACCTGGACTATTTCTTCAATTTAATTTTGTTAACAGCTTGTCAACACCCAAACGTCCATCCTTTTCCCCAATCTCATCTATTTCTTCAATTAAAATGGATAGTGGAAAACAATCAGTTAATGGGATAGCAAGTCTCACTGGTGCAGCTTCCTCCCCTCATGTATCATATTATACTGGGAGTGATCAGGAATCTGAGAATCAATCAATTTACTCAATGAAGACATTGGTTTCTTCATTTATCTCCCCTAACTCAGATGATACAGAGGAACCACCAGACACAAGATTATTAGCTGATCCTCTTGAAATTAAGGAAACATCCCCAGGAAAAATTAATCATATGAGTATTGTTAGACTTCCATCTGAATCAGAAAACCAAAGGTAAGTTCATCAATCATTGAGTATCATCTCATTTGATGCATCATCATATATATTCATTACAACTTCAAATTAACAGGATGGGGACACTCAAAAGGACATCCCCAGAAGACATCCATTCAACTTCTTTAGTCAAGAAACCAAATTTATCTGAAGATGTCACTAGTGCAGTAGCTTCTTTGCCAGAAGAATCTAACTCATCAGTTTTGATTCTTGACATCACTGTTGACACACTTCCTAGTGCACCCACTCTGGCAACTAGCAGAGAGACATCTTTGTCAAAGGTCCAAGTCTCAAGAAATGTAATTGAACAGAACTTGTTGCAACCAAACACTTCAGGTACCATCCTTGATTTAAAATATTTTTTGCAGGTAGAATCAAATAATTATTTAAATTTCCAATCATTTAAATTTTTAATATAGGGGCAGCGCTTAAAAATACTAGCAATAGCAAATCAGATTCTAAACCATTGTATTCTCATGTGTTGACAAGAGATCAAACTATCCTCCCAACACCATCAACTTCTAAGATGCCTGTTGAAATTTTGGATCTGTCTGAGGATAACCCTTCTGATTCAAATAATATCGGCAATAAAATTTCAAGTTCTTCTGGTTCAGCTGAAAATGTAAAAGCAGTTGGTTCTGAAACCTCACTTGACCAAAACACTCAAAGTACCAAAGATTTGTGCCATAAGGATGTTTGGTCAAGTGTTCATTCTGATGTGCCAATTGAAATTACTGATTCCGCCACTCATTCTACAAAAACTGTGTCTAATCAAGCCTCAACTTCAAGTGAAAGTTCAACAGGTGACAGCTCTTCTGAAGAAAGCCTGGATGAAATAATCATTGAAAAAGAAGTCCAGAATGATCACAAAAATCTTAACCATACTGTCTTGATTGATGATAGTGATGACGACATTTTGGTGTGCGAAGTGTTACCAACAGCTAATAAACAAGTCGGAAAAGTCAAAAATATGAAAAAAGGGAAGCAGAAGAAAAATTTTAATCAAAACAAAATACCTGCTGGCTCTGTATTTGTGGCTTCAACTTCCCGTGAATCTGCAGAAGATTTCATTCCACTTAAACCTTCCTATAGGAGAATTGATCCTAGATCTAATTTCTATGAAGATAAACAATCTAGGTTAAAAAAAATTCAGCAAAAGAAATTGAAAAAATCTCAAGTTATGAAGAAGAGGAGTTTAACAGGAAATTGTGCACCAACCAGACCAAAGGAAAGTCCATCAAAGGGCAATAAAAAGAAGGGAGAGAAACACGAGTATGATGGTAACATAATGAATCCTAATTCTGGCGAACCTAAGGCTGGATTACGTCCAATTGTCATTGATGCCAGCAATGTAGCTGTGGGGTAATAGCTGATTTTTTTTTATCTATTAATTCATTCAAAAATATTATAATTTTTAACTATTTAATGCCCTGCTCACTAATTGTTAAAAGCGTAATTTATTATATTTCTTGCAGTCATGGAAGGGGTAAATTTTCTGTTCCTGGGTTGCAAATTTGCATTAAATACTTTACGGACAGAGGTCACAAAGTTCATGCATTTGCTCCTAAATACCGCCGATTCCAAGTCTCCCCTGAAGAAAGGCAAATTCTAGATAACCTTGAAACAGAGGGAATTTTAAGTTTTACTCCCAGCAGGACGCTACAAAGTGGAAAGAAAGTTGCTTCATACGATGACAGGTAAAGGGGATCTGAGCACTTATATACTACACATGGTTGAGTAGTTTTAGGGAACTGCTACATGCAAAGTACAACTGAAGTTAAACCTGGTTTCCATATAGTCAAAGGTTCTCATGTTGTCTTTGCTGAAGTAGCAGAAAATCGCCATTTTCATGGCGCAGATTAATGTTGTTTTGAAGAAACTGAATGGATGGAGTCATGAACATGGTGTTTGCCTTGGATGTTTCCTGTCTGATCTGACGTCTCATTGGGGCTTTACAAATGTTGCTACAACATTTTTGGCAACCATCCCTTGGGTTCCATTTTTTTTTTTCCAGATTTATTGTCCAAACTGCTGCAGAGTTAGGTGGAGTTGTTGTTTCTACTGACAACTTCCGAGATCTTCTGGAGGAAAATGAAGCATGGCGAGACACAATAGAAAAGCGGTATGTTTACCACCATAACAGTTTTCTACATCATACACACTCCTCTTCTGCTGTTTATTCAAAATTATTTTTCCCTTAGATTACTGATGTTTACATGGGTTCAAGACATGCTTCTTTTCCCAAATGATCCACTTGGTCGACATGGTCCTCATCTTTCAGAATTTCTTCGCTTTCCAAATCAGCCTGTATCACAGGCTGAAAATCAGCCTTCTACCTCATCATCAGCGTGAAGGTCTACTGTTTAAATCAGGTTTTTGTTTTCCATTTTTTCTTGTTACACTGTTTTCTACCTGTACAACCCATACTTAATGAACTTCGGTCCAACTAAGATTTTTTGCTTTTTGGTATTGGAGAATATCCCAGAAACTTTTGTTTCCTGTAGCTATAAATATTAATTTTCTAATGAACTGAATTAAGTTTTGGGGAATTCAGTAAGGGAGGAACAACGGCTGTGACTTAGTAAAATTAAGCCTCTTTAGTTCTTTAAGCTCTGTACAAATTATTCTCAAGATTGTTAGAACACTTATAATTATCAACATTCTATTAATGTTTCTACTATTTTTATTTTGTTTATGATCAAGAGATTAGCTCTAAATACATATTTGATAAATTTGATACTAATTGGATTATTAAAAATACATCTTTGAATCAAGCTTTTTATTTTCACTTTCTTTAATTGACAATCCACAAAAAAAGAAGTTTATGATGAAATCATTTCTTATAACATGAGTCTGGCACTAATGACTGAGCTATTGACAATATTTCCTGAAGCTATTTAGCTTGCAATGATATAAGAATTTTCCCCCTTAAATGGCCCCCTAGTACATGCTCATAAGCTTTGGGTAGATCTTTGAAAGGGTAGGTTTTTTGTATACATGGAATTATCTGTAAAGAAAGTTAAAACAAGTAATTAGAAATAAAAACTAGTGGACCTGTGCCATTGACATGTTGCTAAGAGTAGATGATTTAACTTTGTAATTTTTCTTTTAAAAAAATATTGGAAGTACATTTTACACCATAATGATTGAGAGATAGTGTTCCTACCTTGCCGGCCTCAACTAGTAACTGTATTTCATCCAAAGCTGCATCACATGGAACAAAGAAACCCCATCGTAAAGAGGATCCTTTTGAAAGTGCTCCACTTGTGATATTTGGCTGAACAAGGTCAGCTGCACTCTTCAAAGCCCCCAGAAGCTACAAAATGTCCATGAATTAGTTAGGGAAAATTTACAACTACAACTAAGCAGAACCTATTAGGATAGAATCAGTTACCAATCCGTGCTCATCAAAATTCTTCAGAAGAGGACTTCGAAGTGTTATGTATTTTGCATTTGACCATTCCTTTAGACATGCAGCATATTGACCAGCATCAGCACCTAAACCAGCAGCATCAAGTACAATATCAAACCTGCAACACAAGAAAAGATTTGGTCATTCAGTGCAGTACCTTTTGGTTTGGGAGGATGAATTGGAACTTACTGTCCTTCTGATCGCAAACGGTCAATGGTGTCAGGCAAAGCATAATCAATCACAGAATGGGCTCCAAGTGATTGTACTAGTGGAACAGCATCAGTACGACAAGTGCCCACCACCTTCAGCAGAAAGTTTACAAAAAAGTTTTTGGTAGCATTGTAGGGACACAACACAAAGGCAAAGTTCAGATCAAAGTCAAACTACCTCAGCTCCCCAAGCTTTAGCCATTTGCACAGCTACTGATCCAACTCCACCAGATGCACCAAGAACTAGAATTCTTTTCCCTCTTGCCCCAGTAACAAGTAAATCACCCGTAATTCGTAAGGCAGACCAGGCTGTGACTGCAGCATACATGATAGAAGCTGCCTCCTCCATGTTCAAAGACTTAGGTTTTGTCCGAATCTGCAGAAAGACAATTTGCCTCTTAATATAAATATGTTGATAATAACCACCAAAAGACAATCAAAGTTAGTAATTAGTACTCACATTGCTTTGGCTTGTGACAACTTGTTGTGCATGACACCCTTGGTTTGCAGGGTGAATAACGCCCCACACTTCATCTCCAGGACGAATATTCTTAACATTATGCCCAACAGCAATTACTTGACCAGAGAAGTCACGTCCTAATGTTAGAGGAAATTCTATACTGGCTTCGTTCGGGGTACATGATGAAGCCTGGCGTAATTTATTAAGGAATGTTGATCCATATCCATCTGTAATTAAAAAGCACAATGACGGCTTTCCAAATTTATACAATTGTAGATTCTGTATGATGCGGATACCAACTCATCATGGCGACATCGATTGGATTGACAGATGATGCAGCAACATTAACCAGAACATCATCGGGCTTTGTAACAACAGGTTGGCGAACTGAACAGGATAGCTGGAGTTCTTCAGTGCCTCCATAGGAATGGACCTGCCAGGCACACATCTTTCCCTCTTTAGGCGACATGTCAACATCTTGTGAAGTGGACGTGGAAAATTGAAGTAGGCCTGTAAAAGGACCCTACTCAAACACATATTAATATATTGAAAATGCCAGTAGCGTCTGGAGTTCTTACAAAAACTATCAGACAGACGCGTTATTATAATATTGAAATGAATATGTAAATCTTCAATCGATTTTTACTTACGTAAGTTCGAATTGTGCAACTTTCTTTAACGCCGATAGCAGCAGTTTGTGATGACAGCTTGGTTAAGTTTCTTAAAATTGGTGAGCCCATAAGAGCCATCATGACAGGCTCTTTATTTGGACAGCGCTTTTAAAAACAATTGTTGGGAATGGAACAAGGAGGGCAAAATGTAACTTGATGGGAAACACAAAGAGTGTTCTTGTGTAGTTCGCAGATGTTAGGTTCCAGATTTGTCGTCTGCTTGTGTGTACAAAGAGCTACCACAACAACAGTATGTCAATAATCTTAGCCGACATCTCTTTGGGAAAATCTTCAAATAGAATTTTTTGCAATAAGAAAATCATTTTAAAAATTGAAATTTAAATACATTTGTAAAAGTAACAATTTATGCACCTAAAATAATTGTGAATCTATTTTTTATCTCATGTTTTAGTGGTTGGGAGCTGACACATCCGGTTCCGCACAGTCTCCCGCTATTATTTCTTAGTTTCGGAAGTCGAAGAGACATTTCAAATGTTTGGTAAAGTATACAAAGGCGACATGCGCTCCTCGGAAAAGAGAACAAAAAGAAAAGTTAAGAATAAATGTCAAATTATACATGCATGTGCCAGTGCTCCCTTTACAGTTTGTAAGCAACAAATAAATCAAACTGCTTTCCTAACGCGATCGGTAGAGAGCCTAATTCAAGACATGTCCTCTCTAGTCCTCTCTTGGTAATTCCCCCATTTTCCCCACTAATGACGTACTCAATCCCCCTTTTCTATCCGTAGCCAGAAATGCTAAGAGGCCTTCTTCATGCAGATTTTTGGCCGCGAGACAAGAGCAAGATTTGGCAGGATTTGCTACTTTTGGAGCCTGCAATTTTCCAATTTCCAAAAAATAAAAATAAATAAATTCGTTACTTGAACTAGACGACGTCCATTAATCTGCATGCGCAACGCGTTGCAGCATCAGCATCGCGTTGCCTGGCAGGAGATAATTTGCGCTGCGAGAGACTTTTCGCCGGCATCACATCGATCGTGGGTGATAATTTTGCTATCGAGGAACGCGCGCATTGAGAGCGAGGGGACGTGTGCAGAACGCTGAACCAATAAAACTGCACTGTCCGTGCAGTCGGTGGCGAAATGCCCGGCCGCAAAAATCGCGACACCGCTCTCAGCTCTTCTCGACCCAGTTTCGGCCGTTTGGTCGTTACCGGAACGGAGCGGGGCGCGAAACGAGTAAGGCCGTTTTGTCACCGTGGCGACGAAAAACCGTCTCCTGTGTGATACGGGTCGGCTATGAATATCGTTCGCTTCCCTGCTGATTGTCCCCATAAAGTCGGGAGAGGTCACGACAGGTCGGCCGTTTAGAAAGCGCAGGGACGCACATCCCGCTAGTCGCGCTGTCAGTCGCAGTGCGGGGGTTGGCTATACTGGTCCGCTCCTCCGCTAGCTTTAGCTTTAGCTTTGTTGTATCACCTCGCCGCCATGCCTAAACAACGACAGTCTTCGGAAAATTGATAACTTTTTAGGCCTGGTTCTTGTGACAGTCGGTCTTCCTTCCCAGGCGCAATATGAACACAGACGTAAACCGCCGGATCCTCGCCATCAAAGCCAAGAAGAAGCGCCATAAAAATGTGAAACGCAAGGGTAAACCGGAGGAGCAGGAGCCCAAGGACCTGAAACCCAACCCCAATAGGTACGATAATGCTAGCAACTCATCATCGAATGAAACTAACGAAGATGAAGAGGATGAATACCTGTCGGTGGAGGAAGAGCAGGAAGACTCGTCCGACTACTGCAAAGGAGGCTACCACCCAGTGAAAATTGGGGACTTTTTCTGCAATAGGTACCATGTCACTAGAAAGTTAGGTTGGGGGCACTTCTCTACTGTGTGGCTCTGTTGGGACATGCAAGAAAAGAGATTCGTGGCCCTGAAGCTGGTGAAAAGTGCAGCGCATTTTACAGAAACAGCACTTGATGAAATCAAGCTTCTCAAGGCAGTCCGTGACTCGGACGTCAACGACCCGAAACGAAACAAGCTTGTCCAGCTTCTCAATGACTTCAAGATCAGTGGAGTGAATGGCACTCATGTTTGCATGGTGTTTGAAGTGCTTGGACACAACCTGCTGAAGCTCATTATCAAGAGCAATTATCGAGGTATCCCGAAGCAGAATGTGAAGTGTATAATTCGCCAAGTTTTAGAAGGTCTTGACTATTTGCACACAAAGTGCAATATTATCCACACAGACATTAAACCTGAAAATGTTTTGATTTGTGTTGATGAGGCATACATTCGGAAGCTGGCATCTGAAGCAACAGTTATGCACTCGATGGGAATGAAACTACCAACATCTCTAATCAGCACTGCTCCTAAAGAGTTCCAGGTAATTGAACTAATCTGCCTTTTCCAATTCCACTCGGCTCTAGTGCTTTGAGTTTATCTAGTTTAAGGAATCTTTCAGAGTGTTGTATAGGGCAAGTCCGTGCATGATGTTGGCATTGAAAATGTAAAATGTGCGGTTCGAATCTGCTCTAGTTTGCACCCTCCTGTAGATTTGTGAAGGAACATTAAACTTCAATCTACCTTTGTTTGAAGGTTTGCCGATCATGCCAAGTACAGTTTAGCAAAATATTACATAGTACTCTTTAAATTTGGTGGTTGTAACACAAGTATCTTCACAATTTTAGAATTGCTTTGCTTATCTTGCTTAGTTTTAATCACCTGCCTTAACTTATTTTCTGGTGGAAGGTGAAATGTTTGCTTTTTGTCAATGCTGCAAGCATACTTAGCTTGTTTTCATTTCAAAGTTCTCATCCAGTCGTCCTGTCAAATTCTTGGTGAATTTTGACTGTGGCGGTTTACTTTAATTGGTTTTGTTTTTCACTCTTACGGAAACCACTGAAATTGGTGTAGCATCAGAGGTTGAATAAACAGCAAGTTTCAGGCACTTGCAGCATTTTGAATTTGTGTTTCCATATTAAATCGATTTGAACAGAATTTTACATGCACACATATGTGTTTTAAAGTTTTAAGGAATTTTTTGTAAGTTTAGCACGTACTGAACTGACATAACAGCTTGAGCTGGTATAGCCTATCTACTGTCCGTACGTCAAAGTGTTCTGACTTCAAAAATATTTGGAAACTGTGTTCAAAGTGACTCATGAGTCTCTGTTGTTTTTCCATATTGCTGGGACACTAATGGCAAGTAGCCTGAGGACGCTGACCTCAGCTTCTCCCGAAAGAGGAAGGTACACTCCACTAACTACTTAATATCTTCTTTAGTTTCTTCAAGGAAACACAAGTTTTGCAGAAATTATATCTCTTGGGCACTTTAGGTAAAAGACACAAGAACATTTTTACAGTACATTTCTATTGATTCAAACTAAAACAAACTATGTGTGTGTCTAGTATTTGGAAGACTGACACTAGCCCTTGCAATCTGTGAAATGAGTGTTTCCCATTCTCATTTAAAATTTAAACTGGTGTCCTCTATCCTTTTTCTGTCACTTTTAATTTGCTTTTGCCCCAAACCAAAATAGTATTTGGTTGCCTGCTTGTGTTAAGAAAATCTCGTTATTCAGCCTCTTTTTCTTCTCTTCTAAAGTTCTCTGGGTCATAAACTTTCTCACTCTGCATAGTCTACCAGTAGATGCCAAAATTTCTTTATCATTTCATCTCACATTTTTACCTATCAGTGACATTTTTTCATGTCATAATGAAATATTTTTCTACCATTGCTTTAATCATTAACCAGCTGGGAAATGTGTGGTGAAGGATTTGTTCATTATCTACTTAGCAAAAGAAAAAAATAGGACAGTCTTACTGCTTTATTCAAAGGGTGCGAATTTAAGTGGTGCATGAACTTTTCTTCAGTGGTATTTCTGTGTCTCATCTATTTTTTGGTGTTATGTTATATTCTGCAATGGACCTTGGATTGCATACCCAGTTGGCTGATGAATCCCACACACTTTTGTAGCTATACTGTACCGCGTGCAGGAGTGCGTGGGGGTTGCCTACTCTCTCGGCCTGTAAGGCACCGCCGTGGTCAATGACGATAGGCAAACCCGCCCGCACTCCTGCCTGCGGTACGGTTTATCTACACAATTGCGCGGCCACCTGGTATATGTACTAGTCATATGCATACTTTTTGTGGCTTAAGTCTAATTGTAATATCTTTTTGTTCACAGGGCCAGGTTCTTAATGCAAAAATGTCCAAGAATAAAAAGAAAAAGCTGAAGAAGAAAGCTAAAAAGCAAACTGCACTTTTACAACTGCAAATGCAACAAATTGAAGAGACAGAAAAGACTAAAGAACTGACAAAAACTGGTTCAGATGAAACAACTACTCCCAGTGAATCAACACCTAGTGATACAACTGTCTCCATTGAGAAAAAGGAAGAAAACGATGCTTCTAGAAAGATAATCAATGGCTGTACCAAGAGTGAAGAGACTGAAGAAACAGTGGCAAGAAGTATGGGTGCGGGTGAAGGTGAGATGGATATTGAAGTGGCAGTAGATGAAGTAGCTAATCAAACACAAGAAATGTCTGTTTCGGGTGCATCAACCCCTAATGAAGCTTTACTTGGAGAAGGAGAGGGTGATATGTGTGAGCCAATGTGTACAAGTCCTGTACCCTGTCAACCAGTTGAAACTGAAGTTAAAAAAGAAATAAAAGAGGAGCCAGAGTCCGTCAAAACGGCACCTGATGAAGAGTTGCCTCCCGAGGAAGCGGTGGATGAAGCTGTTGATTATGAAAACTGGGATGCCACCAAGGGTGAACCAGCTGATTCCAAAAAGAAAGGATCTTGGAAAGGCAAAGATGAGCCAGACCCATCCAAAGATATTTGTGAATTGCATGTTAAAATCGCAGATTTGGGAAATGCATGTTGGGTCCACAAGCACTTTACAGAGGACATTCAAACTAGGCAGTATCGTTCATTGGAGGTAAGTTTTAAACACAACTTTTTCTGGTCTCTCTTTCTCAAAGTATTAATTTGAAAACATGTGTATTAAACCTTAATTGTTTTAAAAGTGTGTAATGAAATTTGTTTGTTATCAGGTACTATTAGGTGCAGGTTATTCAACATCTGCAGATATTTGGAGTGTTGCTTGTATGGCATTTGAATTGGCAACCGGAGACTACCTCTTTGAACCTCACTCAGGAGAGGATTACTCAAGGGACGAAGACCATCTTGCTCATATCATTGAGCTTCTGGGTGAGATCCCGAAGAGAATAATCCAATCTGGAAAGAACTTCCGCCAATTCTTCAAAAAAACAGGGGAACTGAAACGTATTACAGGGTTGAAGCCATGGGGTTTGTATGAAGTGCTGACTGAAAAGTACAACTGGTCCCATGAAGATGCAGATGAGTTTGAGGACTTTCTCAGACCAATGCTAGAATTTGATCCTGTTAAAAGAGCTACAGCAGCACAGTGCCTTGAACACCCCTGGCTTAAATATTGAGGTCTGTTCCATCCCTAGCAAGAATGAATTGGAGCTTCTGTCAGTTTTACATTGACTCAACTTGTAATCAATGTCATTCTGACATTAGTCTGTTGGCTTGGGTTTATGAGTTGATAGATTTATAGGCGTGAGCTATTTGTGTATTGCTTTGCATCTGTTTCCTGTTGTAGGTTTCTGACATTTATACACTTGTCGTTTCTGAAACCCTTTCCCATTGGTATTTTTGAAATTTTTGATGCTCTTGGCTTTTACTTTTTTTCATAACTTTCCTTTTCTTAAATATTTTCTAACTTTGCTGACTGGAGTAATCCTATAGCTGCAAAACCTATTACAAAAATTTCTGTGTCTCTTAAATTTGGTGTGGAATGCAACTGTTACTCTCATTTGGTGTGGTTTCCTTCAGCAAAGCTTTGCAGTCCTATATTACCAAAATTTCTTGTCTGTAAAGTATACATTGAACTAAAGTTTAAGAAGGGTAAGTTTCGGGACTGACCTGAAATTCAACGTGTACTCAGTGATCTTCCAATTAAATATGTCTGCATTTAGCTTTCACAACACTTAGTTTTGATATCGCATCTATTAGCTTACACCTTAATTTAAAGGATACATGCAAAATACCTCAACAAATTTTTAAATGCCGTCTGTACATAAGGAAGTAAAGACATGTAGGAGACACCAATTGATTTAAATTTAAATTATTGTATGACCCACTTCCATAAAAACAAAACAATAATGTATATGTGATGTCCAAAAATCAGAAATCAAATTAGTTAAAAGTAAGATTAATTTAAATTGTCTTTGGCCGTGTATAGCTTTAGATTAGCTAGTTGTGTCCTGCCGTTGTGAATAGATTATTTATACCATTCATGTAAATTAACGCTCTAGACCAGAACCCAATGTTTGGAAAATTTAGCACTGAAATTTGATACTATATTTGCATTTTAAAGTTTATGCATGGTTGTTATTGATGCTGTATATGTACTCTTGTTAAGTTGGAAACCTACATGTACTGAGTTCAATAATGAATGAGTGATAGAGGATATATTTATTAGTCATTTTTGGAAGGTCCATCTAAGCAACAGTATCTGTTTATGCAAAACTGCTGATGTTGTATCATTTAGCATCAGAAGATTTGTTGTATACCTTCATGGCTACTTATGTAAAAATTCTTATTTTAGGGACACCTTGGATTAGTCAGTACAAATTTTGAAAAGAAATTTTTCACTGATAATATGCTGCAAAGTTGAAAACATCAGTGCCCTTGGTCTGTTTTTGTGACTATTTTTGCCAGTTTAGGAAATGAGTAGAAAACCATTGTGATATGGCTTATGTGCTGGAAGCCCTTACAACATCTTGAGTGCATAGCTTCGTCTTTTTGTTGTGTTTTTAGTACTAAATGGATCCTTATTTTTAATTGTGTTTTTTAGGATGTTTTATATGTGTACGTGCTGAAAATTGGCACAAAAGCTTCATCCATATTTGGCATTCATTGTAAGTGTTTGTCTACAAGGTTATCTTCTGGCTGAACGTATTCAGATTGTTTCTCAATCCCAAAATCTAATTTAAATTAAAGTTTAACATGTGTAGGGGAAGGGAAGAAAGTGGGCACTTACTTATAATACGCAAGGAAGGGCTGTGTGAGTTATGACCTGTAGCAGCTTTCAATTTACGCTTGTACTCATCTGTTCATTTGTAGAAGGGTTCAATTCCATCAAACTCCTTTTTTAAATAAAAAAAGAAATAAAAGATATGAGAGGTACTGACAAAAATGTCTTCTGAATTATTTATTTAATTGGTAATTAATGTAATATGCAGTTTGCATTGCAGTGCGTTGCACTGTATCTCAATCCATCATCAGTCCAAGGCAAACCTATCTTTCTCTACAATACCATCAGAGAGAGAGAGAGAGACTCTCCGTAGCGCGGGCTGTTCGCCCGTTTGTCATAAGGCCCAGTAGGTGGCGACCTATTTCGGCCCGGGGGAGAACGGAAATACCATCAGAATATCAGAATACATCCCCTCGAAGTACATTTTCATGAAAGATAAGTCCTGTGGTCTATACCGCCTTGCAGGCGCTGAAGGGAGGAAGCCAGCAGGAAGCAGACGGCGAGGGCACCCTACTTGAATGTTTGGAGCCGGCAGCGGTTGAGTTGACCAGTTTCTATTATCGGTCCAAGTGATGCCGACGGGATGAACACAAATGAATCGAATCAGTGTTAACAATAATGCCTCCCAAAATGCCAAGTGCTACATGTCAGGACGGAGAGGTACGTGAACTTGAGAGAGCATTTGTGTCTACCCCTATCGGCGACATGGAGTGTGTCCGAATTCAGCCACCGACCGAGCACCGACCGGTCGGTCGTCGGGCGGTCGGTGGCCGGGCCGTGGCGAGCCACTCGCTCCAAGCAGCTATGCCACCCTGTCCACATTGGGTTAACCGCGAACCGCGAAATCCTTTCGCGGGGGATGATCGTAGGGCGCGGGTCTTACGCGGGGGATCGTCGCGGGTCCTCCGCGGGTCCTCCGCGGGGGTAGTCGCGATCCGCAACCATCCCCAGCGAAAGGACTTCGTGGTTCGCGGTTGGCATAGCTGCTTGGAGCGGCTCGCGACCGGCCGCTCGACGACCGACCGCTCGACCACCGACCGGTCGGTGCTCGGTCGGTGGCTGAATTCGGACACACTCTTGGTTATCGTCGCCTGTCCCATCGGATTACACAAGATTTATCAACAGGACAACATTAATGATGGGAATTTTCATCCAGACCTCAGGTAACTACACTTTCCAGTGTTGTTTGAGCGACTTTGATTTTTTAAAATAAAAACAGATTGTGTTATCCAGTACGCAGGTGGAGCTAGTTGGTCAGCCTTGTCTTAGTACAGAAGCGAAAGTGTTTGTGGATAAATGTGTGTGCTGGCTTCAAGCATATTTTAACAAAAACCCGTGTAAAGTTTCAAAACTTTGTATTCCAGACCTTTGCTCCATAAAACCTGAAAGTATGGACATCAAATATTAAGTAACTGAATTATTATAATATCTGATTTATTTATAATTTGTTTTCCCCACAATTGCAGGTACTTTGTTTCGCGACAGAGTTTTAGTTACTTTGGCAAAATCTGTCCCTGTAGGGAAAACCGTTACATATGGGGAGCTTGCCTCAATGGCTGGTAGTCCTGGTAAGAAGTGGTTAAAAAATTTGGTATCCTCCAATTATATTTTTAAAGTATACTTTTTGTATTAACCACATCTTGCTCTCAGGTGCTCAGCAAGCTGTTGGATCTGTTATGGCGGCCAATCCTTTTCAGTTACTTGTTCCATGCCACAGAGTGATAAAAAGTGGACAGATAGTTGGCAAGTATTCAGGTGGATGCAGGAACTCTGTAAAAGTTTGGTTGCTGGAATTTGAGGGAATGAAAGTAGAGAAGAATGGTCGTGTTTTAACGTTAACCAATTATTAATTCTGTGTAACAAATGGAAATGTAGAGAAAATTATTCAAAGTAATGTAACTTTGTTATGAATGTCTAACATTTGCCTGTAAAGAGAGTTGTAAAGAGTTAAAACATTTCGTGTCCTCACTGCATTCTAGTTTGCTCGTGTTTCTTTGTACACTATCATCCTTTATTTTGATTTTACTTTTGTTAGCCTTTAAGAAATTAGATTTTGTTTCAAGAATTGCAAGAAACCTTAATGGTGGAATGTTTTAATATTTTTTTCTACTAAAAAAAAAATAAGGATTTTCTTATGATGGCCTGGAATTGCATTACTTCAAATATGTTTGATTCTCGCGCGGGTTCCCGGAACCCGGAACTGCCCGGAACAGCACAGGCTGACCAAGCAGTTATTCATCTGTTCGAAAAAGTCAAACGCGAACGCCAATATCAATAAGGAGTCAGACGCTAGCAGACGAACAGATCAAAACAAACAAAGCATTTTCTTGAGAAAAGAGAGCAGTTCCCAAATACAATTGAAGAGTTTAAGGAATCTCTTGAACCTATGTGAACAAATGACACCAAGCCATGAGTAAAAGGAAGAATCCGTCCGTAGAGGGAAACCTAAACCATGACATTTCTGATTTTTTGAGTGGTGAGACCCATTGCTTACAAGCAACTTGATTGATAATTTGATTCACTCGCCTTTAAAAGGTTTGATTTGATAATTTTGTTTTCAAATCGCAGAACTAGCAAATTATGAGAAGAATCTGAATAGGAACATTCACAAGTATAATGCATATCGGAAAGCAGCCAGTTCTATATCTGCTCATCCAACTAGACTTACTTCAGGAGAAGAGGCACGAAAATTGGATGGCGTTGGTTTGAAGATATCTGAGAAGATAGATGAATATCTGACCACTGGAAAATTACGAAAACTGGATAAGGTTGCCATTTTTAGCCTCTGCTCGCTATGTCCTTATGTCTAACTGCTGCCATTTGTTGTTAATATTCTGGTGAATATTGTAGATTCATCAAGATGATACGAGCACTGCTGTTAACCTTCTCACCAGAGTGTCAGGTATTGGACCAGCCAAAGCCAAAGAACTTGTTGACTCTGGTATTAAAACTATCGAGGATTTGCAGCAATGCAAGGAAAAGTTAAATCACCATCAGCTGATAGGTCTTAAGTAAGTTATCCCTTAATGAACTTAAAATTAAGAACTGAGAGTTTTTTTTTTCAAAATATGTCTAAATACATTGCTGTTGTTGGTATTAAATTTCTGCTTTCTTTTTACAGATACTTTAATGACTTTGAGAAGAAAATACCCCGAGGCGAAATAGAAAAAGTAGAGAACATTCTTTTTGATGAAATATCTGCTTTGGACTCAAACTATATTGTGACTATCTGTGGCAGCTATAGGTGGGTGTCTCGCATAAAATATATAATTACTTTCTAGGCAAGGAGGTCTAAATACCCACATATTTACTTATTTAAAATGGGTCTCTTACACAGAAAGTTTTAGTTGTTTAGAGAACTTACATTTTAAAATAACCTTTGTTCTTAAACTTAATCTTAATACAGGAGAGGAAAATTGGAAAGTGGTGATATTGATGTACTCATTACTCATCCATCTTTCACATCGGATGTTAAACCGAAATCAAAAGCATACCTTTTGAATAATGTTATTGACTGCCTTGAGAAATGTGGTCTAATATGTGACACAATAAGTCATGGGGATGTGAAATTTATGGTACTAGTATAAACCTTCCTGCATATAACATCTTGATGATTAAACACTAATTAATGATTCATGTTCTATCAGGGTGCATGCAAACTCAGTGAGCATGATGTGGTGCGCAGATTAGACATTCGCCTCACCCCACATGATCAGTACTGGTGCAGTATTCTGTATTTTACTGGTAGCGATATGTTCAATAAAGAGATGCGCACACATGCCCTCCAGAAAAGATACACATTGAATGAGTATAGTCTTCGTCCAATTGGTTCTACAGGTAAGATTTAATCCAGTACTATATTTTATATATTTATTGCATTTTTAAATATATTCTTTGAGACACTTATTTTACTTACTCCTACTAAATAGCTAAATAAGGTCTATAACAGGGTACAATTTTTCATTTTATTAACTTTCAGGTGTTCCTGGTGAACCTGTATTCCTTACAAGTGAGAAAGATATTTTTGAGTATATTGATTACCCCTACAAACCACCAGAAGATCGCAGCTTCTAGTGTAATGATTGCCGGTTCTACAAGGGAGGAGAAATGTGTGTGTGTTTGAGGGGCGAAAAGGGGGGGGGGGGATGTTGGCAAACTTTTTTATTGTTTCAAAATTTTAAGCCTGTCTTTTTAAAACCAAAGATCTCTTAAATGCACTACTCCACTGATTAATGAACTTTTCAAGTGTTTACAATATTAAATTTTCATTAAAATCATTTTTATTAATTCTTCGTTAGTATTTTTAAAAGTGGCTCTTCTTACTCTACTCACTCTTAATGATGTAATGGCTAGATAAGGCAGAGAGCCTTTATCCGTCACCATTTTCTTTGACCAACTCACACCACATCTACATTTTATGATTGTCTCGCCGTGCGTTGAACTTTCCTTACTTGTGATTTCAACGCAGTCTGTACTATAGAACACAAGACGCGGACCTGCTAATCGAAACCCGCGCCTACCCTTCCCCCTGCCGTGTAAATAAAGAAACGCCGCCAGTTGGTAGACAACCCAACAGCCCCTCACGTAGCACTGGTTGCCGCCATGCCAGGCGGCGTGGTATGCAATGCACTGAAAGCGGGCATTTTATCAAAAGGGCCTGTGGTACACAATTATTCATCGGTACATTTGCTCAAAAATACAGTGGTAATGCGTCTCTACAGCCTTAACGGTATTAAATAGCCCTTAAGTCACTGGATGATATTTATGAAGTTCGCTAGAATGAGGTGTATACACACAGATAGGCACCGAACATCCTAAGCGATTCTAGCGTTCAGTTCAAATTGCTGAAATGTGGTACTATCGTTGGAATGTCAATGCCTTGTAATGATGACAGACTTGCTAGAAGGCGTTTGTTCGGGCCGCGCCCGAAAAGTGGAATTCCACCGGATTCCCCGTACTCGAAAGCATCGTCCATCTCTCTCCCTCCCCTCCTGGTGGCCTCCCCCTTCACTCGCTCGCGCGCTCGTTTCAAACGCGCCGCGGCGGGAAGGGGGAGACTTCGGACAGTACCTAACTGGCTCAAAGCGGGAGACGACGTAGAGTGTGCCTCTAAGTCTGATGCGGATGAAAGCGTCATCAATAATGGCAGTTTTAGTATTTTTTGGGTTAGTTTCTTCAATTTTTCCAAGGTACTATTTCCTCGAATAGATAAATGAGTAGGGCTTAACGGGTTACTCATCTGATCAACTACAGTTTCTCTTTCCGAGTCCGCGGTCATGCAGGAGACTAATATTTTGTGTGTTTGTTAACGTTTGCATTCAACCATAGGACCTCGTATTTTTTTGGATATTTAAATAAAATTTAGAACATTGTCTTAATGTTTTCGAGTTAAAAATCTATCCTGACTGCATGAGGACGTTTTTGCATTTGTCGGCTTGACTCGCGTAGTAAAGCTTTAGCATCGGAATGTGGCACTTCAAGATGGCGGGCTGTAGCTTGTCTTAATCTTCCGAACTTTTCTTTGTTTTCCGAGTTGTCTATGTAGGTTTCACGCTTCGGCCAAATTGTGACGATGTGCAGTGTAGTGTTGTATCTGGATTCAGTGTCGTTTTTGGTTTGAGTTTCGGCTTATCGTGAAAAACAGAACAGATTGAGTGAACCCTGTGCCAGTAGCCTTCGACAGTTCGGAGAGCAACTATGGTCAGACGGAAGACGGATTTGTGTTGTTTATGAAAGTGATCGTCTGCAACCTGTCTGCTATTTTGTTAGTCAACAAGTATCGATCGTCGTCGCTAGAGAACACACGCCATCCTATTTATTTACTGCAATCAGAAACCTGCAGAGGTTCGTGGATGTTTTGGAAAAGGCGATCTAACCTACGTCTGTCTTTGGCATTCCTCAGATTTAGATTTATGTTTTGTGATGCCGCGAACTTCTAATGTTCTGCCTATGTTTTGGACGAGCACTTTCATTCATGTGACTCATTAAAATGTTCATGACAGTTGCATTCCTCTTAGTTTTCGGGCAACTAGTGCAAACATGTTGCCTCACCTGTTGCATTCGGTTCTGGCCTTGTCAACTTCGTGACTATTCCGGATTTTTGTTAAGCTTTATTTCCCACATGCACAGTGTCAAATTTTTCTATGTATGTGTAATATTTTCACATGCCTCTGCATATTTTCCTTCATTGGCTTAACCTTTCATATAGGACACCCTGTTCAGAGGTTCTGTCAACCTATATTGTTAGAAAATTCAGTGCCCTTGATTCCACTCCAGCTCAAGTCCATGTTTTTTTAATGGTGTTCTTCTTAATGTGTCTCTAGTCATTCATTTTTAATAGCTTTTCAATTAGTGTAAAAGCTTAAAATCTGCTACTGTGCTGTTTTGTTTTGAATGGGGAAGGGTTAATGGTGTGCTGTCTACAGCCTGCATCAGAGACTGCAGCCAGTTTTAACTTCCTTGTTATTGATTTACCATGGTCTCAATCATTTTTACAATTGAATGATTGTTTTTAATTTAGAATTTCCATTTGTGGTGATTGTTGGAGTCATTGTTCTCAAAGTGGATGTAATCACTATAGTCAGTGCTTAGACAAGGCTGCAATATTGGATAGTGAGCAACTTGAAGTGCCAGTCTTATTTATACTATTCTTTGTTTCATATTTCAGAGTTCGTCTTGAAAACCGACTTCAATGAAGAAACAGTGACATGGGAATGGATTACAGTGCCAACTTATCGTGATGAAATGAAGTGTTGTGTTTAGTGAATTTATAAGTTAAAGTCAGTGAAATGTAGGCCTAAAGAATGGTGCTGCAATGTCTAGGCAGACGAGGAAGGTACCGCATTGACCGGTACCTCTCATTAAGTGCAAGTGAAGTGAGTGCCTTTTATCTACAAAAAGTGTGAAAAGTGAAAATCGTGCATGTGGACAGAAGAGCGGGGCCCACCGCCACTGGGCCCCTGTCTGGTACCTGTGCTCCCACGCCCAGTGGGGTCTAGCATGGGCCAGCAATCATTTTCCACTATGAACTCTGCCACTTCGGGGAAGTTATCAACCCGTACTACGGGGTATCACCAAAAAGCTTTGGCAGAGATAAGAAATTCTCTTCTGCCATTTGCCAACATTGGTGGGGACAGCAATGTTGGCTCCAGTGCAGCAAGTACTATATCAACTCTGTCAACAACTAGTGGTGTTAGTTCAGCCTCAGGGCTTAGTGGATTCAGTACGGCTTCTGGAACTGGATTAGACAAGGATATATCTAACCAGCTACACAACATGGGATACTCTGAGGTGAGTCTATTTTTTATTCTCCTTTGCATGGCAATCTATAGGTCATTGATTTAGTCTGTTTGTTTGGCGGGCTGTGGGACTACATTACATTTTTCTGATGTGTGCTGATGCCATGACAGTTGCTGTCGGTTTTAATTGACCATTGGTCTCCATCTGTTGTGCCAATTTTAAAGAAATCGAGCAATACACGCGGATCAGTAATTTTGCAGATTATTTTCATTGCAATCAACTCTGTGAAATTTTTCTAAGACACAGAGGCATTTTCAATGGTTTAAAGTCGTTCATTTGTTGTGTTGGGTTTATGCCCTACCGCTTTACTCAAAAGTCTTTAAGTTAGGACGCTGCCCCAGTTCCCCTTTAGCACGCACCCACCACTTTTTAGCACTTGTGGACCACCACAGGGACCCCGACCCCCGACCACCACCGATGAGCATGGTTCAAATCGCGGCACCATCGCGGCACTGCCCCCCCCCCCCTCACCATTTTCCTCCCCGCCTTTCCAAAAAAGTATTTCCGGTAATATTTTCAAGATTAAAATAAATATCTGTCCTTTATTCCCTGAAATTTTTTATCCTTTTCTAACTAGTCCAAAAACTAAAAATGTCAAACTTAGAATCCCCCAGTAACCTGTTCGGCTCAAGCATGCGGCGATGCCGTGGCGATGCCGGTGCTTGACAGTGTACCAGAACAGGCCACCGGCGGCCGCGCGCGGGGTAATTGCGCTTCTGGAATGCGGCTCAGGAGAAGAGTGGTGGGGGGG